GACTGGGATTTGGCGGTGAGGGGAAGGCCTGGGCGCAGAGGAGAAGGAAGGAGGGAGGCAGAGAAGCGAGCGCGCCTGTAATGGACCAGCCGTCCAGCTGTGGTTAAAGGCACTCTGTGGAGCAGTCTGGCTCTTTGCTTCACCCCCAGTTTCCTACAGGAACAAGGGCTGTGCACTCTTGTGTTTTGTCCACCTGCCCTCTTGTAGTACCCTCCAAACCCACGGCCAGTTTCAGACCAGTTAATTGGGAATTAGCATCCCGCAAGCGTCCTGCAGGTTGGTGTGCGTGGTTGTGGTTGCTCTTGCTGGGGGAATGGCCCTGAAGGATTCACAGCACTTACTAGACATCAGAGAAGCTGCATGGGCTTTGTTTATCGTATGAACACAGTAAGGCTTTTCACTGCTCCAACTCTTGTTTAAAACCAGAGCTGCTTGGCAGGTCGTGGGGCACCTCTCTGGCTTTGGTGAAGCTGCCAGGCTCCTTCCTGAGCCCGTGGGCAGGCAGGAGCAGGCGAGCGCTTGAGCCCCTGGGGAAGGGATGCTGCCAGCTCTCCACTGCTGGCTCTCCCTGGGAAGCACGCAAGGACCCTGGCCGTCCTTGGAGCAGGCGAAACCTTGGGGCATGTCGTGGGATTTTGCTGCCCCAGTGCCATCCCCAGGGCCATGGGCTGCCCGGGGCTGGGCTCCAGGCAGGGCAGGGGCATAATTCACTCTTATCGTGGGCTCAGCAGCGACCACAGACTTAGACCTGTCCTTTGGGAGAGGACAGTGGTGAGACCAGCCTAAGACAAATCATGGAGACATCTTGCCTGCAGATTTCTCCCTGCCTGGGAGGTCTTGGGTGGGTGTGAGCTCCTTCCCACATCTCAGTGCCCCCCTTTGCAGTGGGGGGGTTGCCCAGCTGACTGAACTGGACCCATGTGTATAACACAGCCGACGCTTGTGGTGCTGCAGCCGTATGATGACTCTCGGATGAGGAGCCCAGATGCCCTGTATTGTCAGAGCTGTTAAACTCTTTATTACCATCTTTCTGTCTTGCAGCTGCAGGCATTTAATCTTGCAGAAGTTCTGCTCTGTCAGGACAGCCCTGGCCCTCAACAGACGTCCCCCCCATCACCTGTCTTGGCAGGGTGGACGTGTCCCACACTGGAGCAGCCGCTGGGAGTTGAGCCCAGTACAGAGCTAGAGCTGCCTGCGTGCTGGTTCGGGGGATGGACTGGGAGGTGCAGTGTACACAGGGCAAGGGTGGTTTCCCCTGTGGTGGTTTCCTCCCAGCAAGCACTGGGCTGATAGTGATGGTCAACAAGCCTTTCCCCAGCACAATCTCACGAGGACCAGCTGTGTGCGTTCTCCCTGGAATAAGACCTTGCAGCGCTTGCTTTGCTTCCCACGGAGAAGGTCCTCCAAGTAGCATTTCCCTTCCAGTGTGTGACCTCAGTACCCCAAACCCACCCGACTTGCCATGATTGCTCCCCATGATTCACTCTGTTCCACCGGTGGTGGGGCTCCTGATGGGCGAGCAAAGGATAACCTCCACTCGTTTCTCCTTCCACCTTCAGTGGTCCTGCTCCTGCGCACAGTTGATGCCCATGGCGTGTTTGCAGAGCCCCCTAACCTCTTCTTAGGGTTCAGTCTTCCCCCCCCGCCTTTATTTGTTTCCATGAAGAGGGGGGAAATTACTTGCAACTCCAGCAGAATAAACTGATGTCCAGCAACTAGCCCCATCTCACTGGGGCCTGTGGGGTTGGGGTGGACCAGCCACTTACACTGGCCACAGATTAACTTATTAATTAATTAGAAGAGTTCACTCTCAGCTGGTGTTGGAATACAGAGCAGTTTTGGCGGCCGTTTCGCAAACTGGCGGCGTGTCTCAAAAAAGACAAACTGGGATCACGGAGTTGCTTGGAGCCCGGGAAGGGCGCCTGTACGGAGGGAGCTGCGGTTCTCCCAGCATCAAGGTCATGCATGAAATATGAGAAATTACCCTGAGAAATTCTGATCCTGAAGGAGGAGGAGGAGGAGTTCATGACTTAAGAAATACCAGATTTGGGAGGGGATGGAAGGGGAAGGGATATATTTTCCTTCTCAAAATACCTAAGGAATTCAGCCCGTGCTGCAGAGACAATGAGATTTCGCCCCTTGGTGCCAGAAGGGGTAGTTCATACCCATGTGTCTTGTTAAGGTTTCAGTTGCCGTGGGTGAAAAGCCCTCCCATGCCGCTGCAATCCCAGGCACGTACAGTTTTTAAATCGCCCTAAAATCAAGAGAGTGGCTCAAATGTGAGATTTAAAGAAAACACTGCATGTCTTCTATTCTCTCTGATTTCTGTGGCTTTAGGTTAGATTTTGGTCACATTTTCCAGCTGTGAGGGGCTATTAAATTAACTTGTATATATAAAAAGTTATTTTTGTATGTATTTATGTATATATTTGTGATTTCACATAATTGTATGATTCCAGGAGCAGAGCACCCTGAGGTTTGTTACAAAACACAAAGGTTGGCAGCTCTGCCACAGCAGCTGCAGGGCAGCGGGAAGGGGACGATGGTACGTGCATGTCCGGGGCTGTTCGGTCCATCCCTCGGGGGTTCCTTACACTGGTGGGGCTGGCAGGGTGGCCTCTGCCTGCCTGGTGTCTGCCAGTGATGGGAAACCCTGCTTTCCCCCATGAGAGCATCCCGGCAGCATCGGGGGGAAGAGCAGGGGTTGCCTCGGGGTGGCTCCACGTTGGACACCTGATGCATACGCTGGGGCAGGGTGGTATTTGGCCTCTGCACCCAGTGAGCTGTGGGCCTTGGATCCCGTCCCACGTTTTTCCTCAGCCCTGCCCCAGCTGGTGGCCAGGGGAGGCAGGCCAGGGACCCAGCTGCTCCCGGGGGCCCTGCCAGACTCTGCCATCCTCCTGGTGGGCTGGTACAGTGTGGGTCTGGCTGCTCGTGGTGGAGGCAGTGGGTCTCTGCCGGCAGGGAGGGAGGCGTAGGGAAGGGCTTGGTGTGAAGGCTTGCTATGTCTCTTGGCTCTCCAGCTTGGAGAGCAAGAAACTCAGCCGGCGCTGCAAGATCTGTCCCGGCTCCCGGGCTCGATCGGCCTCCTGCAAGCAGTGATGCGGGAAGGCATCTCCTTCCCTGGAGTAGGCAGCTTTCCCATCAGTCGACTGTGATTTCGGTGGGGAAATTCCAGCCTGCAGATGCTGGAGCAGGATCCAGAGCCGGGTGTGCTGTGCAGTGCGCCAGGCCCACGCAGAGGGATGTTGCAAACTGTGTTTTTAGCCAGCAGTGCTTGGGAGCAGGTCGTGTTGACATGCACCTGCCTGCGCTGCTGCCGGAGCAGGTTGCTGCCCGCTGCCTCTCTGCCCAGCTGCATGGGGCTGCTGCCCGCCTGCTCCACAGCTCTGCCCGCTGCTGGACCCAACACCGCAGCTGAGCCCCTAGAAAAGCCACCAGCAGCCCTGCGCCCTGGTCTGGCTGCTGGCACAGGACCTGGGATGCGGTTCCTGCCTGCGCCATCTGCGAGCAAGTGGTGTTGCACCCGCTGTCCGGAGCTCAGTTCCCATCGTGTTTAACCCGGGAGTGGGTTGCAGCCTCCTGGTGCCGCAGCAGCGCAAGTAACGAGCCTTCTACGATGAAAAAAGGAGATTTTTTTAATATATGCATCAAATCTTTCTCTGTGTGGACACTCCCACCTATTCAGCGGGTCTTAAAAACAGCAGCAGCGATGCCCTTAGATGCTTGCAGGCCCTTGTGTTTCTGTCTGCACGTGCCAGCAAACGTCCCCCTGTGCCTAGGGGTCTGTGTCGCTGTTGCTGCCCCTTGGGCCCTGTTTCAGTGGATGTGCTGTCTGTGTGTCTGCATGTGCATGGGTGGGTGCACACACGTGGGCACTGGGCACCCATGTGGCGTGCAACTGCAAGTGGGAAGCCAGATTTTTTTTAGCTCCTTGTTATTATTAGTGGTAGGAGCCCAGCAGCAGTGAGGCTGGAGGTGCCCGAGACCTTAGGAAAAACAACAGGAGGGAGAAGGCTTCACATTCCTGCTCCCGAATTGAGTCGGAGGTGACAGCCTTTCCCTGCAATGCAATTAATCCCAGCAGCGCCTCTGCCACCCTCCCCCTCCCGCCTCGTCCAGGAATTAATTACTTGATTATAAATCCCCAAGTGGCGGTTTATAATAGCAATAATCCCCTCGAAATTCATCCTCACTGCCGGTTTCTTCCCACCTTGACCCCATCGTCGAGAGTCTCTAACACTGCGTCTCTGTGCTGGGCAAAGCCCTTCTCTTTGCCCCACCAGTGTGGTGGCTTTTCCCTGGGATAACCGGGGACGGGGATATTTGGAAGTGGTTTTGAGGGGTGTTTTGGGAAGCCCTGCAGGCTTGGGAATAAGGTTTTGTCCCAGTTATTAGACTGATGGCCCAGGCCCAGCCCCAAGGAGTGGGGGCCAGGGCCTGGCAGCGTGGTGGGGGGAGGCCCCATTCCTCCTCTCTCTGTCCCTCCCGATTACACTGACGCTGGCTCTGGGGCTTGTCACAGAGGCGGGGAAGGGAGAAAGGATTTGGTGTAGCATACAGGGGCACGAGGGGGGTGGCAATGTCTCGCAGGAGCCTGCCAGCGGTGGGTGATGGGCCTCGAAATGGTGCTGCCATAGTGGGAGATCAGCCTCTCCGTGTCTACCCTGGGGTCCCCAGGGCTTGGCTCTGACCAAAACTCAGTGACTGGGCTGCAAAAAGTTACCTGAGGGGCTGCCCCCATCCAGGGGACCCAAATCAAGGTCCCCAGCCAGTAAGGCAGTCCAGTACACATGGCCCCTCTGTGTGGCCATTGAAATCGCGAGGTTTCTGCCTCCACCAGCCATGTGTGGGCTTTCAGCTCGGCAATGGCATCCCACTGGGAAAAAGCACTGTCCCTCCCGAACCGCGTGGGCAGAGCTGGTGTGGGCGGTACTGAAGCTGCCCGGTGTGTGTGGCCACTGGGTTCTGATGACTGCTCCTCTCTCCCATCTCTGCAGAAGATGCTGATGAAGCAGCAGGACCGCCTGGAGGAGCGGGAGCAAGACATCGAAGAGCAGCTCTACAAGCTGGAATCAGACAAGCGGCTGGTTGAGGTAACTGGCGCTTCACCCTCCTGTGGCCAGCCCCTAGGACTGTCACCCCATGGCACGACGGGGACAGGCTCCTGCATCATAGGGGCCAGGTGGGCAGGGAGGAGGGAGGACGTGCAGGGGAGGAGTGGCCAGACAGACCTGCTGTCTCCATTCCAGTCTTGGCAGTCATCCTTTTGGGGGACAAAAATGCGTTTGGGGCTGCCCTGCAGCCTTGTGGGTCCTGGGGTGAGTTGGAAGGCAAGAAACAAGGCTGTCCTTAAATATGGCCCACCCTGCCCCCAGCTCAGCACAGCCTTACCGGGCCACCCACTTCATCCTGAGTGGGAGGGGAGGCTCTGGAGGTGGGAGATCCCCAAATAAACTGCTGAAATACCCAGGAGGTGGAAGAGATGCAAGCGAGTGTTTGGCTGGGACACAAGTAAAACAAGTTCAGCTTGTGGTTCTTAAAGGCCCTTGGCCTCCCAGAGCTTGGAGGAAAGGGCTCTGGAGCATGACATGTCCCCAGCCTGGGGTGGGGATGGATGGGGATGAGGACAGGAATGAGGATGAGAATTGAGACGGGGATGGGCAGGGTTTTTCAAGGGAGCACACCTGCCTTGGTGGTGCGGTAGGTTGTTGCTTGGCATTAGCCCTCTAGAGGCGATCCCCACCTAGACACCCCAGGAGGTGGGTCCAGGGGATCTGCTGGATCAACCAAACCTCCACTGTCCCTGATGGGTCTGTGGCCCATAGGAATCCCATGTGGCAGCTGACGGCAGGGTTTGGTCTGTGTGGATGTTGCAGGAGAGCAGAGCTGTGGTACAGCTTTCAGATTGCACCCACCCCTGCTGGGGAAAGGACCCAGATGTCCTGGGGCATCATGGTGGAGGTTAGAGGGCACAGAGGGCCTGACCCTGCTCCTCTCCCCCAGGAGAAAGTGAGCCAGCTGAAGGATGAGGTGCGCCTGCAGTATGAGAAGATGCACCAGATCTTGGATGAGGACTTGCGGAAGACCATGGAGATCCTGGACAAGGCCCAGGCCAAGTTCTGCAATGAGAATGCAGCTCAGGTTCTCCACCTCAATGAGCGCATGCAGGAGGCCAAGAAGCTCCTCAGCTCTGTCCAGGTCATGTTTGACAAAACCGAGGACATCAACTTTATGAAGGTAAGACAAGCTGCCTGTGCCAGGGGTGGGATGGGGGCTGCGGGGAGGTCTGGTTGTGTGGGGAGCATCGGGGAGGCATGGGGCATAGCAAGGAGCAGGCTGGGGACACTGACAGCTGAGCCAGAGGGCTCAGCAGTGGGAGAAGTCAAGGAGGAGTGGGGCAGGCTCAGCACCAACCTTGAATGAGGAGGTGCCACAGCTGGAGATGGGGCTGGGGCAGCCTGTGCTGGGGGGAGAGGGGGCTTAGCACCCCTGGGCAGCCTGTTCCCTCCTGGGGGGCCACAGAAGGTGATACCAAAAGGGGAGGTGGCCACCAGGGCAGAGACTGGCTTTACTGATCAAAGCTTCTCCTTCCCCTCCTAGAACACCAAGTCTGTGAAAATCTTAATGGACAGGTAAGCGCAGCAGGGCAGGCGTGTTCGGGGGGAAGGGGGGCCATCACAGGGACAGCAGCAGCATGATGTCCGGAGGAGGAGCAGGGCCAGGGATGGTACAGGGCCTGGGAGAGGCATGCTCTGTGCCTCGGTTTTCCTCTCTGTCTGGGAGGATGAAAAAATCCCCTCCGGCAGCCATTAAATCAAGTTCTCCCCTTGGACTAGGGGAAATGTAGTGGTGTGCTTGTGGAAGAGCAGAGCTGGGACCCAGCACCCCAGCCAGGGTGGGACCAGCTGGGTTGGGGTGCAGGGCTCAGTCCAGCTCTGCTGGGGCAGAGGCAGGGCAGGGGGTTAAAGCCAGTGCTAGCGGAGCTGAGGCGAGCTGGGGCGGCCATGCAGGGTGATGCAGGGGCTGCGGGCGGTGCACCCTGGCATGGGACGTTCACAGCAAAGCTGGACAGGGAAGGTCCTGCCCATCAGAGAGAGACAGCTCCCTGCTGCCCTCCACACTGCTGCCCTAGGGAAGGGGTTTGGCCCTGGGAGGGTGTGGGGGAAGGATCTGTCTGACCCTCACCTGAGTGTACCTTGTCCCTCACACCTCTCCTCTCTGCCCACGGTCCCCAACAGAACCCAGAACTGTACAGGTGGCAGCCTGCCCCCACCCAAAATCGGCCACCTCAACTCCAAGCTCTTCCTGAACGAGATCGCCAAGAAGGAGAAGCAGCTCAGGAAGTTGCTGGAAGGTGGGTGAAGCCTGGGGGGTGCGGGTGGCAGGGCATGGGACCTTGCTACCTCCTGTGTCCATAGCTGGGTGCCCTACAGATCGCAGTACAAGAGGGTGGGGAGAGCTGTCGGGGTGCAGGGACCCCTGGGAGCCCCTCTGCAGTCAGCAGGGGCATGGAGACACCATGAAGCCAGCTCCTGGCTCCCCCCCAGGACATTTCCCTTGGCTTGGCTTGTGAAACGGCTGTGTTTTGGGGTGACACAGTGCAGGGGCTGGCTATCAGCAGGAAAAGGTAGTGGAAAGACGAGGGTCAGTGAGCAGGGAGGGGTAGCCAGGGGCCGGCATGGTTCTGCAGCCCCCAGCCCACGTCTGGGAGCAGACCACGTCCCATATCCTCTCTCCTTGGGGGATTTGGGTTTGTCACCCAGGCTGTCCTGCTCTGATCCTGTTAGAGACCATGGTCACGAGCTGCGCACGGGTTAGCCTGTGCACATGTTTGCAGAGCAGCGCTTGGGGCTGCTCTGAGCCTGCCAGCAAGGTCCCAGAATGGAACGTGCAAATTCACCCATGTATAGCTCTGTGCCCAGTTTGCTGCTGGTGGGGTGGGCTGGAGAACCCTCTGCTCGCATGAGGCTGGAGCACAGGTCTCGGGGCTTCGCTGCAGGTTCAGACCAGCGGCCAGAGCACCCTGGAGCTATGCCATGCCATGCTTGACGTAGTCCCCCTCTCCTGTTTCCCTCCGCAGGTCCTCTGAGCACCCCCGTCCCCTTTCTGCAGAGCATCCCCATGTACCCCTGCACCGTCAGCAACTCCGGCGCGGAGAAGCGCAAGCACTCCACCGCCTTCCCCGAGGGCAGCTTCCTCGAGCCATCGTCTGGGACTGTGGCGAGCCAGTACATGAGCCAGGGCGCTTCGGCTGGCGAGGGGCAGTCCGCACAAGCCATGGTGCCTTGTAGCTCCACGCAGCACATAGTTGGACTTCCCAGCGGCCCGCAGCCGGTGCACTCGGGCTCCGTCTTCAACCCATCTCACTACCCCAACACCACGTCATCTCAGCAGTCCGTGCTCTCCCAGTACGGCGGGCGCAAAATCCTCGTCTGCTCCGTGGATAACTGTTACTGTTCCTCCGTGTCCAACCACAGCGGGCACCAGCCCTACCCACGGTCAGGGCACTTCCCCTGGACGGTCTCCTCGCAGGAGTACTCCCACCCGCTGCCGCCCGCCCCCGCCGTCCCCCAGTCGCTCCCGGGACTTGCCGTGAGGGAATGGATTGACGCATCCCAGCAGCACGGGCGGCAGGATTTCTATAGGGTCTACGGCCAACCATCGGCGAAACACTACGTCACCAGTTAACCGTCACACTCTCCGGAGAGTCCCACTTGATGACGCGTTCGGAGAGAAAAGTCTGGTTTGGTTTGGCTTTTCTTTTTTTTTTTTTTTCCTTTTAAATCAAACCCAATTTTTTCCCTGCCTCGTGCCCCTCCAGGATTTTGGGGAGGGTTGTTCTCTCATCTCTCTCTCTCTTTTTTTTTTAAATCCTTTTAAAATGAAATAATAATTTTTTTTCCTTTTAATTCCTTTTTTTAATTTAATTTTGGAAAGTCCTTCCTGCCCCTCGCTGGGAAAAGACGAGGGAGAAATTACCGAGAAGAAATTGATGGGGATTTCAGTCAGGCGTCTGGGTCTGTGCGTTGCGCTCTTCTTCGCTCCTCTCTGCCTTTGGAAAACTTCAGAAGGGACAATGGCACCTTCTCTCTTTCCATTTCTCCAAGTTCATTTTTCCTGGTTTGGTTCAGTTTTTCCCCTTTCCCCACCCCTCTCTTTTCCTTTTTAAAAAGAAAAAAAGAAAAAAATCTATCATTGATTCAGTATGAAATGATACTTGTAGATTTTGGGTTTGTTACTTTTTTTTTAAAGGCTGATTTTTTTTTTTGTGTTACGAGGCCACTTCTCATGCATATTGGCATTTTTTTTTCCTTCTTTCAGAGATTTGTAAATACACAATGGCAGGAAATTTAATGCACAAAAAAAGGGAAAAGAAACTTTAAAAAAAAAAACACGAATAAATAAATAAAAAAAAAATCTGTTCTAGTTTTCAGGAGGGGAAGCGTGGCCGAAATGCACCCCCCTCCTGCGTATCGCTGATGCAACTTCCTGTAACAAGCACTTTGTATAAAAAAAAAAGTGGACTTCCTGCTATAAGGCACAGGTATTTATTCTGTAACCGATTTTAGAACACACACACACAAAAAAAATATTCAAATAAATGTGATCACTTAGTGCAAACGCCTCGCTCTGCTGCAGCTCTTCCCCTGGGAACGCCAGCTCTGGCGGGAGGCTCCCACCTGCTTTCGGAAGTAACCGCTCCCCGGGTCCCGCGGGTGCCCAGCCGATGACGGGGATTTTTCCAGAGGGGCTGTTTTGGAGGGAGCAGCTGGGGGATGGGGTGGTGGCGGGTCCTGGCCGGGGATGGGGTCCCCACCAGCACCCATCCCGCGTCCCAGCCCTGTGGGGAGAGATGCCGGAGCCGTGGCTCTCTGCCGGCTCCCTCCCAGCCGCTGAGGATGTGAGTCAGGCGCGGAGCCGGCCGGGCCGCATCCTGCCCACAGCCTCCAGAACAATCCCCATTGTGGGATGGGGTCGGGGACAGGGATGAGGACGGCGGCTTTCCTGCCTCCGGCGGCATCCACCGTGCCGGCCGTGCTGCACGGCAGCACCCGGCGCTCAACTCTTCGTCCCCACCTAAAGCCCTGCTGCCCCGTGGGCTCCGTGGGTGCTCGCAGCACCCTGGGCTGGTTCGGGGACCCGCTGTGCTCAGCCGAGACTGGGAAGGGTGAGGAGGAAACTTTCGGCTGGGGCGTGTTGGGGGGGGCCATGGGCTGGCCTGGCTGTGGCTGTGCAGGGGCGAGCTCTTCATCTGGGAAAACAGGGCTGACTTTATAAAGCAGAGCAGCGTCTTAGAGGCATTAGGGTTTTTCCATTACTGTCTTCGGGCTTGGCTTCCTTTATTTTTTTCCTGGTTGCAAAACGTCCCTGGTTTCGTTCCGGTTTGGATTCCCCTCGTGCTGCTTCGGTGGGAAACGGGAAGGGGAGAGAGTCTCAGTGAGCTGAAACCAGGGGAGCAGCGGATCCGAGGGAGGGGGACCCTCGCACCCGGCTCCCCCTGATCCACCCCCAAGGGAGGCAGCAGCAGCAAATCCCTTGCCAACGGGGCCCCCTTTCCAGGCCGAGCTGGGGCAGGGAGGGAAAGCCAGCAGCCCCTGCCCCTGCGTGCTCCCGGCCACCCTCCGGGTCAGTGCCACCCTGTGCGCAGGGTGCAGAGGCCAGCAGCTGGGCCCCGCTGCCCTGCTGGGCTCTTCTCAGCCCCGTCCTGCTCAGACCCTTCAGGAAACACCCAATCCATTGGGATCTTTGGGGGTTCGCTTCTCTGTCACAACCAAAGCGCCCTGGGGCGGCAGGAGGGAGCGGGATGCTCCTCAGCCTCCACCGCAGGGACCCCGCTATGCCTCCCCCCTCAGTGTCCATGTGGCCGGCTGCTGGTGACGGGGACAGAAGCAGCAGTGAGGTTTGCCCTCCCAGCTGTCCTTATCATCATCATCATCATCCTCTTCCTCCTTGGCACAGCTGCCTCCTCCCGCGAGAACGGGCAGCTGCCGGCCCAGGGCAGGCATTAAAGCACCTGTTACCTATAGACGGGGGGACACAGGCATAGCCCCCACCCTGCAGGGTGACCCCCAAGGGTCTGGGACGTGCCCCCACCATGGGCTACCCTCACCCTGCACCTTAGCTGGGGGGAGCTGCCCCAAAACAGTGGGTGCCCCTTGCAGAGCCCTGGTGCCGTGGCCCCTCCGGCCCCCCCCAGCCAGGAAGAGGACCCCGGCATCCCGGCTCCCTGCGGCACCGCGCCATCAAACCCCACGTGTTGCTGGTGGTGGGGAGGGAGGCGATGGCCCCCCCGGGGTCACCCCACCGAGCGGCAGGAGGAACACGTGCCCTTGGCCCCATTGGGTTAACAGTGTCCCGGGCTGCCGGGAGGGAAGTGCGGATCGGATCGGGTGCTCAGCGGGGTTTTATTGATGGATGGTTCTGTCCAGGGGGTGGGAAAAGCAGGGGGAGCAGAGGCACATCCATAAACAGCTCGAGTTGTGAATGGAAAGAGACGGATTAGGAGCCGGGTGAAAACATGTCACACGGCGGAAAGAAAAATGAGCAGCTGGGCCAGACCAAATTGGTGTCTGATGAAGGACATGGGGCCTAGTGGAAAAAGGATCCCAGGGCCGGTGGTGCTGCTCGGGGGAGGCTGATGGGGAACAGCTGGAGCTGGACACGCACATCTGGCAGAGAAGGGTGAGGGGAGAGGCGGCACCGGTAACCACTGCGCCTCCGGCCACCGCGCTCGGGTCGCAGGGTTGCGGCTCATCCCCTGGATCGGTGCCTCGAGAGGGGCTGATGCTTCATCTTCAGGTCGATGCTGGGGAGGGGGCAGCGGCACCGTGGCCCATCCCTCTGCAGGGATTTACCCGGTGGGGTTCAGGCTCTGCCGTGCTGAGGGGACCCCAGGTGGAGGAGCCGCTGCCTCTTCCTCCATTTGCATACATGTAACTAAGCAATCAACATAATGAGGGCAAATGCAAACCAGGCTTTCAGTTTGCAACCAAGTCCTATTTTTAACCTTGGAAAAGGGTTTTGGCAGGAAGCTGCAGGCCCTGCTCCGGTACCTGTCTCCACGTCCAGCTGCACAGGTGCTTGCGCCGATCCCTTGCCCCAAAGCGCTGCTGACCCCACGGCTACCAGCGGGTCAGTTCTTGCTGCGCTCTGCTCCCGTTACCCAAGGAAACCAAAATCTCACATCTTTGTGGAAAGATGGGCAACACAACATCATGCCCCAGCTCGTGGGAGTCTTTTTGGGCAGCTCTCCCACCTGCCGAGCCCCCAGGTCCTGCTTCAAGCTGGGGTGTGTGCCCGGGGAACCCCCCTGGCACCCCAGGAGTGAAGCCCCATGCTTAAACATGAGGGGTATATTTAGACGGCATCAATTTAAGTTTGCACATCAACCTTATAAATATGAAAGCCCAACTCGGCGAGATGTTTAACATACCTCATCAGCCCTTGGAAAATATGCGGGAATATTAATTAGCCAGATTTGGGTATTATCTCGTAATGAATAAATGAAGAGACTCGCTGCCTAAGATGAATCACTGGCGGCTCATTGCGTTTTGTGGGTTTTTTTTTAAGAGAAGTGTGTTTCTAAGGTAATTCACTCTTTTTAACCCAGGGCCTGTGGAGGGGCTCAGGGGATGCAGCCATGCTGGGGCCAGGCAGGGTGGGACACCTCAGGGTGCTCCTTACATGGAGGCACCCTAATGGCTGGTGTTTTACATCCCTTGATTTGGCCCCAGCTGGCTGCAGGGCCTCCGGGGACGGAGGGACGGGGACAGGGTTGGAGCCCTGCCCCGGGTGCAGCAGCCCTGGGCCCAGGATGGAGGCGGAAAGTGCAGCCTTACTTCTTCAAAAACTTATTTTTGGCTTCTTCCCCTCCCGCCCTCCATCCTGCCCTCCTGCTCTGCTCCCCCGGCTGCTTCGCTGCCTCCAGCAGGGCCAGGATGGGAACTTCCCGGTTGTTGTAGAAACCCAGATGAAGTACAAGCTTCAAATGAAAAAGCCAAACAAGAAAAGTCTTTGTGCACGCCTGGACAGCCGCTTTGCTGCACCAGCATGTGGCAACTTCGGGGCCGTTCTTCAGCGCACCCCACGCAGCCAGGGGGGCTACAGAGCCAGCAGGGAGGCTCCCTGCCAGCCCCGAAACTCTGCATTGAGCAGCGAGCAGAGGCTGAGAGTTCCCAGGGAAGAGGCTTTGAAGGTCTCCATCACCTGTGCGGTGCTCAGAGCATCACTGCACCCAGGGATGCAGCAGCCATTGGGGTTTTGCCATCCTTGCCAGCTCTGGCACCCTGGGCAGCATCTCCCCACCTGGCCTTAGAGCTGAGGCACCCCAAGGAGCATCACCACCTGGTTTGCAAGATTTTGGGGTAGCAGAGCAGTTTCCAGATGGAGGGAAGGGGCTCGGGGCCGAGCCTGGCCAGGGGTGGCTGGGGATGGGGAGGTCAGCGCGAGCCTCGGAGTCCAGGTTGGATGGCCGAGCTGATGGGCCAAGCAGCAGAGCCGTGGCCCGTGGGTGCAGGGACGGGGCGGCAGAGGAGACAGGTTTGGGTGGGCCAGCTGGCAGCCGCTGCCGCCCCGGGAATCATCGGCCGGACCCCGTCCCTCGGCTCCCCCCCGGCGCGTGGCGGCTGG